AACTGGGGCTCCTTCCCAACATTGATCGAGAACCGCTCTTCCATTCCAGTTTAGCTTAGAGAAGACACACTTGGTCAGAAAGGCTCAAACTGCTACAAAAACCTGCCTACTGGGATGTGTGTGTCTGTGTGTGTGTGTGTGTGTGTAGGGGAGTCTTCAGAAGGAGAGAGAAAGCAGCTGGGCGAAGGGCCTGGTCTACTCCCCGTGTTATGGAAGAACTAGTCCCCGAAAAGAAAGGAAGAAGAAGAACAACTTAAATACGTTAAAAAGAGGGGGAGAATCCTGCCTCGTAGGGGTGGTGGCGGAGGGAAGGCGGCCATCCTCCTGATCCAAAAAACCCAGCTCTCTCTCTCTCCTCACCAGGCGTGGAAAAGTTGGGAATCCATTCTGAAATACTCATATTAGTTTTAAAAATTTTTTTAAAAAAAAGAAGGTTGCAATGAGCAGATCTGAGGATGGGGAAAACACACACACACACACAGACAAAAGGGAGGAGGAGGAAGATACTGGTCCCACTACCCCACAGTTGCTCAGCCTGGCAGCTTGAAGACGGGTGGACTTCAACTCCCAGAATTCCCCCAATCAGGAATGGGAAGTCCCCTCCCCGCTCTTAAAGCCTGCCGGCTGGGGAATCCAAGCAGTTGACATCCACACATACACACCCGTCTCAAAACCTGGCCAGGTTGAGAAACACGGCACTAACATGCGCTCCGCGGGCCGAGTCCCGTTCGACGGGGGTTCCGTCCGCAGCCTCGTTCCCAAATGCTCTCGCGCTCCCATCCGCTCGTTTCCGGGCCGGAGGAACCGCGAGCGAAGGGGAGCAGGGCGGGTCGCCGGCCGCGGGTTTCGGGGCAGCCCTGCGCCTCTCTCCGGCAAAACGTGGCAGTGTCCAGTGTCTGTCGCGGCTCAGGGAGTACGACGAGGAAAAGGGGGGGCGGGAGGTCGAGCCCCCTCCTCCGTCAGGCGAAGAAGACCACGAAGATGATGAAGAAGACGATCAGAATGAGGAAGATCTTGACCATCAGCCACCGGTTGGAGGAGACGGACTGGAAATACTTCAGGATCTCCATGTGGGCGCCCTCCACGTTCAGCTGGGTGTCTTCTACGTTGGCGTCAATTCTACATTGGGGGGGAAGAATTGCAGGGGAAATTGAGGACTGGGCTTCCTTAGCAGGAGAGGTTTCCCCTCTCCCCCAGTTGCCTTGCCACCCCCCTAAGCTACTTTTCCTTTGAAGGGTTTTTGCTTCTCAAAGAAGCTTCTGCTCTGGCTGGATGGTGGGGAAGGGAAGGATTGATGCCCCTTGCAGACAGCTGGTCATTTGCATCCTTTTGAGAGGATCATTGAGGCAACTTGGAGGTTTATTTGTGTCTTATTTAAAGACCTTTCACTTTTCCTCCAAGAAGCTTCTTCTGCTCTGACTGGATGGTGGGGAAGGGAAGGATTGATGCTCCTTGCAGACAGCTGGTCATTTGCATCCTTTTTAGAGAGTCACTGAGGCCACTTGGAGGTTTATTTGTGTCTTATTTAAAGACCTTTTGCTTCTCATCCAAGAAGCTTCTACTGCTCTGGCTGGATGGTGGGGAATGGAAGGATTGATCCTCCTTGCAGACAGCAATTTTTCCATTGGAAAACCATTCCATTCAGGGGACCCTGAGAAGATAAACCTCCAAGTGGCCTCAATGACTCCCTACAAGGATGCAAATGACCAGCTGCCTGCAAGGAGGATCAATCCTTCCCTTCCCCACCATCCAGTCAGAGCAGAAGAAGCTTCTCGGAGGAGAAGCGAAAGGTCTTTAAAGAAGACACAAATAAACCTCCAAGTGGCCTCAAAGACCCTCTAAAAAGGATGCAAATGACCAGCTGTTTTTTTCTTCAAAAAGAAAAAAACAAGAAAATCCAGTCGCCTCCTGAAAAAATAAAAGCACCTTTGGGACAACCATAACCAAGATGACGGAGAATCTTTACGGACGTTTAGCGATACAATTTGGGATGGACACCCTTGGAATGGTGTGGGAGGAGGAATGGAATTCCAGAGGAAAAATAACAGACTAAAGGAACCATTTGCTCCATTCGGGTGACCCTGAGGACACAGAGGAAACCTCCAAGTGGCCTCAACGACCCTCTAAAAGGAGACAAATGACCAGCTGTAGGACAGCCGTAAGGCGAGGACTATGGTCCCTTCATCCCAGATGGGGCCACCAGGCCTTGCGGCTGGTTCAAAACATAATCAACCCTTCTAAGGTTGTGGCTGCATAACGAGCCACAGCGGAACGAATCATGGCTCGGTTAGAAGCATGTGGGAAGCCAGCTGGGGCCTCTGACCTCTGGATCGTCTCTTCCTGTTCTTTAACCATGTGTGCCAGTTGTTGAAATATGGAGCCCAGCTCTACGATGGTTGATTCGATGTTCTGCATCGTATCCGCCCGGCTCTGGATGTACGAATCCTGCAAAAGATGGGGGGGGGGGAGTCAAGTCGGTGTCTTTGCCTTATAAATCCACCCTGCTTTGGAAATTCTGACCCAAAATATTGATATTCCCACCCGTTCCACCGGGGGGGGAGTCAAGTCGGTGTGGGGTTGTTTTTTTTTAAGCGGGGGTGTGGATTCATTCAATGTTTTTCCCAAATTGTGGTTCTGAAACATTAAGCATAGATGGCAGAGCTTTAAAATGGCCTTCTTTAAACCCCGGCGGTCACGTTTACAAATTTAACGCAAGCCCAGGGGGTTAGCAAAGGGACTGAGATAGATAGATAGATAGATAGATAGATAGATAGATAGATAGATAGATAGATAGATAGATAGATGGATGGATGGATGGATGGATGGATGGATGGATGNTTTTTTCCTTTTTCGTTTTAATAGTTTTCGGAGCACAAGGAAGAGCTGGGACTGCTCGCAGTTGGAATTCGGATTAGAAAAACAGCTCGTTCCCCGCCAGCCCACCCACTCAAACCGCAGCGGAGAAATCGCTCCCCCCCCCTCTCTCCCCGGGGTTACTGGCACCATCTTTTTCAGGAAGGAGAGCAAAATGGGGCATTTAAGGACCGTTTGCAAAGTGGGTGGAGGGGAGGAAGAGAACTCCGGCTCCCTATTTAAGAAAAAAAAAAAAAAGAGGTGGGGGGAAAGGAAGTTTACGGCTCAGCCACCATAACTGGGCCAAGAGAGGGATATCATGGCCCCAGCGTAGGCTTTTTTTTAATTTTAAAAAAAAAAGGAAATTAAAGAATAAATTGTATTATTCTCCAGTAGTGTAAAAACATTAAAGTTTTTTTTTTGGGGGGGGGGGGAAGCAGAGATGCTTTTTTCCGCTCCTTTCGTGAGAACGGAGAACCATTGGGAGCCGAAATGGATTGGAAAGTCGAACAATAGCCCTACTGGGAGCCAGTAGAATTTCACCTGGCCTAAGGCTGCTGCATTTAAAGCCCCCAGAGCTTTGCATGATGAGCCGGGCTGAAAAAATGACAGGCACGGGGAGGGGGGTGGGTGGGTGGGAAAAGAGACATTCGTAGTTTGGTTCTTTGCTCCTGTACTAGAAGAGCAAATCTGAATGGGGATGGTGGGCGGGAGGAGGGAAGAGGAGAAGGGAAAGAGGAAGAGGAGGGGAAAATAGGAGGAGGGAAAGAGGAAGAGAAGAAGAGATGAAGAGAAGAGGAGGAAAAAAAGGAGGGAAGAGAGAAGGGAAGACAAGATGGAGAAGAGGAAGAAGAGGAAAGGAGGAAAAAAGGAGGGAAGGAGGAAGATAGAAGGGAAGACAAGATGGAGAAGAGGAAGAGGAGGAAAGGAGGAAAAAAGGAGGAGGAGGAAAGGAGGAAGAAGAGATGAAGAGGAGGGAAGGAGGAGGAAGAAAAAAAGGAGGGGAAGGAGGATAAACGGAGAAGGGAAGGAACAGACAGAGAAAGAGAGGGGGAGGAAAGAAGGAAGAAGGGGAGGAGGGAAGGAGAAAAGGAGGAGGGAAGCCTGTCAATTAGCTGAAGAACTGGGGCTCCTTCCCAACATTGATCGAGAACCGCTCTTCCATTCCAGTTTAGCTTAGAGAAGACACACTTGGTCAGAAAGGCTCAAACTGCTACAAAAACCTGCCTACTGGGATGTGTGTGTCTGTGTGTGTGTGTGTGTGTGTAGGGGAGTCTTCAGAAGGAGAGAGAAAGCAGCTGGGCGAAGGGCCTGGTCTACTCCCCGTGTTATGGAAGAACTAGTCCCCGAAAAGAAAGGAAGAAGAAGAACAACTTAAATAC